TTAAACTTATAAAGACTTTAAACAAGTACAAAAGGTCACATGACTGGATCAAATTGACCAACCCTGTGTTGAGAGAGTTAATACACAACTATTTTGCCAGCAATTAATAATTTCCTTAAATAAAATCTTTCATTACAGACCCCATTTTGATCTTTACAAGTTAAATTACTTCAACAAAAACAAAACACGGTAAGCATGTAGTGAGAAAGATTTATAAACATTAAACCCACAATGAAAATGGACAAACAGTACCTGATGGTCATCACTGTCCACTTTCTTCACATTTTCATCACTCTGTTTCTCAATGCTAACCTAAAGTATAAAATAAAGAATTACTCAATCATATATCTACATTTTAACAACTAAAAAATTACTACTATAGAAACTAGAATTTCCTAAAGTAACCAAAACTAAAATCAAATGTATTTTCACTAAATAAGTGTTCAAATACCTTTCAATATACTGCATAATGGTATTACATACATTTTGAACTTTTATAAACTTTTACTGAAGAAAATAAAAATTAAAGAATAAAGAAAAAGAATTTGCTTATCATTTCTAAAAACAAAGTTATTTCTAAGCAAAATGATATGATTAAAACGTATTTATTACTAACCATGATAATAATTCATAATAGGGATCGCCTAAGAATTTCACCAAGATTCTAATAGAACATAAACCATCTTAAAAGCAGACTTGTTTTTGAAACAACACTCAAGGCCTATGTCAATGGCTAAGGTTGCTAAAATATTGATAACAGCGAAAAAGTTGATTTTCTAATTGTTAGACAAAATTCAAAATTTATCCATTTGTTCTTTATGTTATTATTTATATTATTCTTGTTTCACATGCCTACTGAAAAAATGGCTGCAAATATTTTATTGAAACCTGGGAAAACCTATTTAAAAATTGCCTGTGCAAGTCATAATGTTTTTTTTTTTAAATTATGCACAAAGCTACACAAGGGCTATCTGTGCTCTGCCCACCACGGGTATGGAAACCCGGTTTCTAGCGTTGTAAGTCCGCAGACATACCGCTGTGCCACTGGGGGGCACAAGTCATAAGACTATTCTTATGTTGATTATTAATTGAGAAGGAGACTTTCAGTTTTTTCATTACTACTGGCCAAGTTTCTCTTGGGTATACTGTACCAAAATCTATGCACAGCTACTAAACAAACTCCTGCAAAGGTTGTAGGACTATTTTTGACTTGATTCTTGAAAGTTGAAATTTCCACCCTATAAAATTTTCTAAGTTATTTTTTTCTACCAACATAAGCTCTTTGAAGCCATTTAAGCACTGTTATACTAGTCAGAATTACTCCATTTTATACTAGCCAGGAACATTTTGTTATAATAAAGTAAACAATTTGTATATTTATAACAGTCTCCAGTCATATTATTATTATTGATTACAGTTCAACTGAATGCATATGCACATACATAGCATAAAATTTATTCTCCATAAATGGACATAAAAAAAACTTAAGAAACAAGATAATTAATAATTGTTAATTTAAAAAGGAGTTGTCAAAAGAGTACAGAAATAGGTTGAATCAAAATACAAAGATTATATTTTCAAGCCTACAACTGGGGACTCTAAAAAAAAAAAAAGTAAACAAACTAGGCTGAAAATAGTGAATAAAGCACACAAACTTTGTAAGATGAAGAACAATTCTCAACATGCAACAGAAACTTGCAAAGTTAGATGAAAGATAATCAAGCTTTAATCTGAACAAAATCGCACAGAATTAAAAGTTGACATTTGCTAATTATATTACTTTTAGGAATAACATATATATTTTTTAATTTTCTTACATATAGTACATTAGTATTCTTTAATAAATTATGTTCTAATAATAGCAATATTAATGATAGAAAAATATAAAATGCTTTACCCAAAACAAGTATAGATATAAGGAAGCCCTTACCATTTTACCTTTTATATAGAAATATGTAAGCCAACATTATGATAAATAAGACAGAATGAAATAATAGCAAATGTATGATATTGGGTATCAATACCTGCCCAATATGCTTGCAAGAAGCAGCCACAAAGTGCAGCTTCACCTACTATTTGGGTGACAGTATCTTTGTTTTTTATGCATTAGCATTTTAGCTGTTAATGCATACTAATTAAGTAATGAGCAAGTCAGAATTAGAAATTATATTCTGATGCATGTATGTCAAAAAAGTCTTACCTTCTCAACTTCAGGTGCTGAAAGTGTACATGATGAGAAAAATGGTCTGTAAGGTAAAAATACGTATATAAAACTCATCTGTATCAAGAAATCCTTACATTTATACAAGAAAGTTGTATTTGTAAAATAGCAGTCCATAGGATGTTGTTAATCAAAAGAAGTATTTTTTACAACACATTCCAAGGAAATAAAAAACCTGTTATTTTGTTTAACAATGACATTTTGAGCACCTGCTCTTCATTAGATCTGATACTTCTTTTATGTAGTAATATGATTTAACAAATGACTAGAATGTAAGTAAACTTTAAAAATTTCCCAACTTTATCTCCAAGGGAAACACATGAATGAGCTTAGCTAAATTTTTAATGGCTCTTGTCACATAGTTAGAAAACCATGAAAATTGTGATAGTTATAGGATAGTCTGCTTTTTGCATGTTATTATTCTGTTTCTTTGGTGCATTATTTAATCAAATAAAAAATTACTTAGTGCAGTAGTACCATTAGTATAAAAAAGAATGGTTAGGTTTCATCAACATTCAATGGTTAAAAACAAAGAAGACCCATGTAAATACTATATTTCTTGCTTTTCATGGGTATTCTTTATTTATTATTATAAAAGTAATATAAATAATAATAATTTTTCAGGAGGTAAACTTGTGAGCAACTCGCAAGTAGCCCATGCGTTACGCAAGTTGATAGGGTAACGTGAACAACACGTTTATTATGTGATTTACAACTTCTGTGGTTAGAATATTAATTAGACACAGTTCAATGGTTAATAAAACAATAAAATTTAAGTAGAAACGAATGTATTCTGTTTAAAGTTTAAAGCTATGTAGTTTTGGGTAACAACTTGAAGTTATTCTAGAAAGAAAGAAAGGGTATTTAGATTTATTTCCTTTTTCTTTTAGGGTGATTACAAAGTCAGTCAAATTGACCAACCTCATATAAAGTCAAGGTAGAGAAAATACTGAAAATAAAGTTGGAAATTTATTTAGGTTTCATAGATGAATAGATTATGTAAATGAAATTGGAGATTTTTAAGATGAAGAAAAGTATTTTTAATTTTAAGATGAAAATCATTTTGCACTCAGAGCAGTCAACACTAATTCCATATATATATTCATGGAGAAATGTTTAGTACAAGTACTTCGATAAAAATTCTGATTTTTTTTTGTTTATAAAAGACTTAATGATTACTGAAAGATTGTGAGATTTTGTAAAGATACACAAAACATATTAGAAGTTATAGTATGAAAACTATAAAGGTCAATTTGGGGTAATAAACTCAGCTAATCTGACCAAGTCGACAGCAAGAGAGTTAAGTGGAAAAAGAAATCTTAAAATATAATCTGAAGTATTTTTATAGATTGGACAAATGGGCAAATTCACTATGAGTATCCCTCAGCTCTTACAGGTATCACAATAATGAAATATGATGAAAATACAGGATCATGCCAAAGAAAAGCAGATGTGATAGGAAAGTTCATGGCTTGAGCTACATAAAAGTTAAGTTACATGAGACCTATGCAGCAACCTCTGAACTGAAAACATCAAAGTATCACAGACCAGTTACATCTAGCTGTCCTTATATATAGACTATAGATCAGATAACTTTTGAGGAATACAAAAATTAGTATGACCCAAGAACATAAAGTACTTAAGAGAAAAAACTTCCGTGAGGAAAGTAGTCTGACCCACTTACTTAATAAAATGGTGAAAGCCCTCCAAGCATTGGCATCATTTATAAACACAGTAAAATGAAAATAACGCAAAAACAACCATAGGATTTTTAAATCACATATGCAAAAACTCAAACACATTTATATAAAAAGAATAAAGGCAGTTTTAGTACTGATTTTGATATTTCAAACTTCTCTAATTAACTCACTATTGGTTCCTCACATGATGAAAATCAGGGGTTTTTTCTATACAAATAATGGTCAGTTTTGCCTACCTTTGACATTGATGTATGCAGGGCCAAATTCACATGAGGCCATGCTCTAGAACCCTTCACTTTGAGGGGCCCTGTGCTTTCATGACTATATATTATTATATTAATCGATTAAATTGAATTAAAACTTTTGCACCACTGGAAACAAATCACTTAGTAAAAAATGAATTATTCTTAACATCATGATGTGTATGATGTATATTTAGTAGCAGATCAAATGAAGTTCATAATTTGATAGTATTTTCATCATCATATTAGCACATGCACATCATGAATTTCACTATATAGCATTGTGCCTATAAAAGCTCTTTCTAAAATGATTAAAATGTCAGAAAACTGTTACACGAATAAACAAAATATACTGAGTATGCACAACTTTTTTCTGATTTGGATAACATCTTTAATTATGATATTATAAAATAAATAAATGATAATAAAATATTTATAATGTAATGAATTTATATAGGAACATGCAAATAAAAGGTAGATGTTGAATATTATTAAAAATAAAACTCTTGATAATTATCTAATTGATGTGAAATCTCAGTATCTTAACAATTATATTATTGTAGATAGTTTGCATTATCAATTATTGATAAAGCCAATTGATAGAATAATAGGATAAACATCCTTGATTTCAGACAACATATGCCAAACGTTCTAATGGCCTTATTGTGGGTTAATCCAGCACTGGATGTATGAATAAATTAAATTTCAGTGCTTCACTTAAATTGAATATATTCACCACACACGTGTATCTGACATTCATTTCTCTCATGTAATGCTTTTTCTGTGTAGGGAAAATTAAACAATGATTCAGTACTTAAATGACTTTTAGACACTGAAATGAACATAGATTTACTGTCAATTATGTAAGAACAACACAACAGTAGCATTCAAAATACAAATAATAATTTGACCTATTTCTATTGTAAAATGAAACTCACCTAAGACTAGGTTTGGGAGTTGACGATATGCTAACATCATCACATTCAGGGCAACTGTCTGATAGATCTTCTGATTCATCAAACAATAGTTGTTCAATTTCTTGTGGATTCTCATTAATTAGTTCCTGTTCCAGTTCTCCTGGATACTGCTCAGAGTAGAGAACCTATTAATTGTATTTACAGTACATACAAGTAGTCACTCTTACAAATATGTACAGTTTCGTCTATAAATGACAAATGTGTTATATTTTCAAGCAAAAATTTAAAGTGTTGAACATTTTTCATTAATATTTTCCCACACATTTCTGATAGATACTTTCCTTCACTCACAGTTACATCCATTCTTGATTTGACTGTCCTCTAGTTCACAAGATTTTCCTCACCACTAGCCTTGAAATTCACACCTATTTCCATGTGTATGCCATGTGGTTCAGCTGAATTTAAGTAAGTAAGTTGGAATGTGACAGTCCTCCACCTATACGAGTGTGACAAACCCTCTTATTGCAGCTCAATCCCTCTATGCAGTTGAACCCAATCTTCACATTGAGATTAGGCACAAAAATGATACTGGAAGTGAAGAGGACAGGTGGGAAGTGTGAAAGAAGGTAAGTATCAATTGGAAATGTATTTACAGTGTAGGAAAATATTAATTTCTAATATGGTTACTTGCCTCTTCTCACAATTACAGCTAGAATCCCACATTGAGTTGGTGAAGGGACCAGTGTAAAATTACCTATATAATCACCTTTCAAAAGCATCTGAAGAGCACCCATGGAGTATGCCACCTCTATAGAGAGGAAACATACTCGTGGGAGACTGCACCACATCTGAGCCAACTTGTGGGTGTCACAATCAAAGGCCAAAACAATGCAACAATTTCAAATCTCTAAGGAAGAGGAATGTGTGTAGAGTGGCTAGGGCATGTTGGACCATATGTGAGAGGTCAGCTCCAGTCCAGACCAATGGAACCAGGAGAAGGGTCCTCAACCATTTACCTCAGGTTAGGAACCAGAAGGTAACAGAAGCCTCCATTCCGAGTACCTAAACCACCATGTGTGCAAATCCAGCATAACCTGCAACAATAAGGCCCTGGAATATACATCCAGATGACATCAGAAATGTGGAAATGCAATGTAGAGGATCAATTCCAGTCAAAACCAATCAGCAGTGAGGATGTAACATCCAGTCCAAGCTGGGGAAAAGTTCCCAGCCCATTCACATGTGAGTACTATGTTGGCTGATCCAGCTCCACCCAAAACCAGTCACCCATGAACCATCATCCAGGTTGCAATATAAGGGAGGATTTCCAGCCAGGTTCCTGCACATAATTGATCTGCAAAACAATCGTCATGGACCCCAATATCAGGAGGTGTGGGGGGGGGGGCAAAATTTGGAATTAGATGCTGCAGTTAATAAGGAAGTGGAGGAATGAAATGACATGGGTAACAAAGACAAAAAACCCAACATACCTGTGACATCAAGTCTAAAAATGGTGAAGGCTGAGAACATGCCTGTACAGCAAAGGAAAGGATGAAGGCTGTACTAGCCTGCATAGTCCTGATCCAAGTCCTCAGGTAATGGCAGAATTGCTTGTAGATCAGGAGATCCCTCTGTCCGCATGAAAGAGGCTATCACCAGACAAACTACAGGCGACACTTCCTCTGCCATTAACACCATACCTGCAGCCATTATCATGAATGCCAGTACTGTCAGTAGCCATTATACTAAATTGTGAATTCATAAATACTGACTGACTACCAACAATTGAGAAATAAAATTCACAACCAAATAAAGAAATCCATCTTCATAGTGGATTATAAACAATACTTTGAAATTGCAAAAATCAGTAACTGAATATTTTCAGAAGGAACTAAAGAAGGAAAAAGAAATGTTTGAAATCAAGCACTAGGTCTTAACAGTCATGCCAAATCAAAAAGTGAAGATTAGGTTCAACTGCACAGGAGGAGTTAAATGCAATAGGAGGGTTTGTTACACTCCTACTGGTAGAGGACTGTCCCATGCTAATTTACCTGCTTAAATGCAGCTGAACCATGTGGAATTAGGAGGGATTTTCAAAGCTAGTGGTGAGCAAAATTTAGTGCACTAGAGAATAGCTGTAACTGTGAGAGGAGGTAAGTAATTGTATCGGAATAGAATTTTGATGTAGAAAACTTATAATATTCAACTAGTGTTAGAATTTTGCTTCAATATATTCACAATATAAATATTCATTAACTAAAAATCAAAACATAATGGTTTATTGAAAATATTTTTACAGACCATGAAAAGAGACTATTTTATCAGATACAAAATGCAAGAAATTTAATCAATATTTACTATGTTAAAATTCACCAGGAAAAATATAAAATCTTCTCTATGTGCACTTATAAAAAGTGTTCAGTTACATTTCTCATAAACAGTTGTTTAAGTTTGCTTAAAACAATTATGCAAAATTCTTAAGCATATTTATACTTAAATATGCAGAGTAAAAACTGTAATATCATTTAGGAATAAAAATCTTTACTAACATGTCAAGCAGACAAACAAAGTTATCCAAAGTGAAAACATTAATTATATTACCCATTCCTTTAAGTGTATTGTAGTATTTATTTCATACACTCAATTAAACTGTTTCTGTCACTTTGTTTTCTTGACTTCTAAGGTACATGTTAAAGACAATTTATGTTTTGTAGCACTTTTTTTAAAACTGTTTTGAAAAAAAAAACAATTATATTTTCAGGATTTTTATCTATGTATGATGACTTGTATACATATTTAACAAATTCAATAAGATTTTTAATTTGAAAATGCAAAGTATCTTTTGAGAGGAAAATGTAAACTTTACAATTTGATAATTACTATTATTTTTTATAAACAAATTCATATATCCTATTTTATGTATTTAGACTCAATAAATCATAATTTTTCTCAATTTCTATACATACAGAAACTTGAGGACAAATAAAACTTATTCATATGTATTATGCAATTGCACAAAAACGCAAGTTGAAAATTGTAAATTTAGAGCCAAAACAAAAACATACCAATGTTAACCAAAACTGTGTACATTTTCTGATGGCACGTGACACGGTTACTGTATTGACAACATTTCTATGTTTAAACTTTAAAATAACAAACATTGTCAGAGAATATATCAGACTAACAATAACTAAAGAAATTATTATCATTGAAAATTGTTCTGTAAGTTACTGTTGTACTTCTTTTCTTTTAGATTTCATCTACATGTTATCTAACCACTGTTGTCCACAAAAACAACAAATCTGTATTGTGCTGTTTTAGAAGGTAAGAAAGAATCATCATACATATTTCAAAGAATAACTAACCTCTGCCTCCGAAACACGAAACTTCTTTAGAAGTGCTATAAATTTCTGCTTGATGTTTCTCTGAAAAGAAAAGGGAGTGGAAGTTAAGATCACAAATTCTATACGTATGATCATACAGATTTTAATGCATTTAAAAAAAAAAAATTAACCAAAAACATTAAGACAAAATGGTAGTATTTTAAAAGAAATAGATTTTTTAACTTTCTAGATGTCTGAATAATATGTAAAATTAAACGGGCAATAATTCAATATCAAACAGTGAAATAATTTTGTTTTAAGAAACTTTAATGTCTTTAATAGGATTTAACTAGTTTCAGACATTCATACAAACCAATGCAGCCAACCCTAATTTTTGTACTCACAGTCTAAAGGAAAGGCAGCAAATAAACACCACCCACTGCCAACTCTTGGGCCACTTTTAATCAAATAAAGGGATTTGACAATTATTCTGACAACACATTCACAATCCCAAAGTGTGAAGCAAGACTTTTTACTTTTTGCAACAGTGGGATGCAAGCCATGGATCCTCAGATTCACAGTGTGGTACACTAACCACTAAACCATGCAAGACCAAGAGATTTAACAAAATTGTTTCAGTGTTTTCAATGACCATAAACCTCTACAAGTAATACAAGATTATCTTCCAAAGTATCCACAAGTTGTTTACATAAATAATTTTACCAAAATTATCCAGTACACAAACAGAGTGTCCTAATCAATACTCAATTGAAAATTTATTTTCTTTGTTCTCAGAGAACCCACTGTTCAAATACATCCTCAGCATAAGAAGAATAACCTGACATCATTTTCATGAGTGAAAGATAAGTTATTATATAAGCAGCACTTTATATGCAAAACTAACCTGATTCATTTGCAGTCTAAGTTTATGTATGGGTAAACTTTTATACAGATGTTTTGTTCATCATTGGCTCGTGTTAAGATCTTAAAATAATTTAAATTGACTACATCACACTCATTCAGAACATGCTTCAATACACATGATTTATTTGGCATTCTTAAACTTGCATGTTTTTTTCTTTTACAAATGTCAGAATCGTTCTTGTAGTAAACCTTGCTTACAACAAAGACAGGTAAACTGATGAACTACATTTGATGTTTTCAATGAAGAAATGTGATCTTTATATCTGATGAAATACTGCAGATGACATCCTGGTTTAAAAAGATATCAGTTTTACATGTGGAATCACTACAAATTAGGATGCATAACTGTTTTTCAACATACAAAGAGTATTTAACAATATATGGTAAGATTATGTAGACTAACATTAGAAACTTCAAAGTTGACAGTTTACTAAAGTTTTATTTGTTCAGATAGTCAAATTATTCAACTAATCAAATAAATAGGAAAAAACCATTGTAAAGTAAAATTTATTACCTTTCCTGTGGCATATGAACAATACAAAACAATTAGTAACATTTTTATTTCAGGGCACAAGCACCTTATATACACAAGGTGTCTTGAGACATAGTATGTGAAATTTGTAGCTTTATAATTCACGTAAAAAAGGAAGCTCCTTGACAAGTTGTTGTGAGAAAAAAATACATTCCCATCTTTCAGACGATATATTTATGATTTTAAGAGCCTTAAAAACTGTAAAAATGCAAATAAAGTTAACATTGGCAAACATGTAGCTCATGTTACCATATTAAATGATGTAAAACATGAGCTATTCGCAAGCACACCTCATGGAGAATACTATTATTATTTTTCATTATCTTACCTAAGCTACCCTTTTCTAACCTAGTAATTTTAATTTTTACATTTTAATTACTTTTACAACAATAAAGTAAAAAATATAAATGAAAAACAAGAATTATAGCACTTAACTTTGACCTCTTTTTTTTTTTTGCTGTCAGTTACCAAGAAATTTAAGACTACTTTAATTTAATTATATAATGCACCTAAGAACATAAAATAAAAACATGCATAAAACAAACAATGTCCTATAACTCCTATAATTTAACTAACTTTCTAACTATGGCATAAGAGCCTTAAACTACTTCCCTAAGCTTCTCAATCTGAACAGCACGAGAGAAACTTTAAAACAATAGACAATACTTTGTACTGAAAACAACATAATATAATATGGTATTTGATATATTAAAACTGTCTTTCTATTGGTTATAAACAATATAAATCATCAGAGAGAATTATTGTCAAGTTGTGAAAGAGAGGATGTGAGAGGTGGGTGTGGCAAGTGTGTTTGACTTTCTAGTTTATGTCTTCATAAACAAAGACGATTGAAAGCTATAAGAATTAAACTTTTCCTTAGTAATACCTGTATCAAAATGAGCAATTTCAGTTAAACTTCATACTTCAGAGATGTGTAGTAAATTAGTGAACAGGCAGGATCTGGAGAACAAATGTTACAATTCTCATACAAGGAGAGATTTATGACTTATATAATATTAAAATTTGACTTTTTAATTATGTTTTGATGTCAAGCCTATACAAGTAGTTTAAATTCTGAATGTAGCTCTATAAAAGGTTGTGTTGTGTCATTCACACTTTAACCTACCCATAAGCAAGGGAATTAATGTGTGTTGCATTTTGTGGTATATTAGAATTTAGTTTCTAAAATATTTTAAAACTCATCCTTAACATTTTTCTAGCTTACCTATAACATTATATTGGAATTTTGAAATTCTTGGACTATGTATCTTGTAATAATTAATCCTTAAGTTAAAACTGTTAACATAATTTCTTGATGAGTTTTATAGCAGTAGTGTCAGTATTGAGAGCTAAAAAATCTCAATTTAAATTGTTCTTTAGTTGAATTTACTTACTTTATCTTAACTTTGCTCAACTGTATTCATCTATTATAATCAAATTAATATGAGATATTTTGTTAACTTTCTCAAGAACTGATTAAGCATTTCACATAATAAAAAAACATGCCATAATGTTTTCACATGCAATATAAGCAACAAACATGCTCTACTGTTAAAATCAATCTCATACATAAACATACTCAATTCAAGTTAATTTCAAAATTCAAAACACAATTCACTCTTAATGGTGACTTAGACATTACCTAGGTGATAAAAATGTTTAGGTATCAGGCAGGTGGTAGCACTGTCTGTGTAGGGATTGTCCAGATTGTTCATCGAAATGGTATTTTAAATATCATCTCCATAGGTTATCAGAACTTTAAAATACTGTACAGTGTTTCATTTTATAACAATATTATGTATTGATTGGGACACAAGCTCTGGCAAGGTCTTATAAAATCATAGCGAATTTCTTGTTCTTCTTTGTTACAAGATAACTCAAAAAAACAAAAACAACGGCATCAACCAATTTCACTGGGGTGACATAGTTTCAAATAGAGTATCTGTTTTTATAAGTACTATTAATAACTTGTAGTATTTTTAAAAAATCATAATTCTAGTGAAAACGAGATTATCATTACCCCTTGAAATTAGCTTTCTTACATATATTTGGTATTCTTTTAAAAAAGCTTAAGTACAGGATGAAACAGGAATAACCAGCCAATAATAGATAAACAATAAATATACAGTTGGATCTTCATTGCATTTAGAATTTAGTTATAAATACAACCTTCCTATGTATGCTGATACACTGTATTAAAAAACAAGCAAACAAATAAAGAAAAAACTTTTCGAAAAAGGAAGTAAATGTCGGGATGGCTAATATCATTCTTTCAAAAAGAATGCAAACAAGATAATAGGGATGGCATTTGTATCATTTCTACATAATTATTTATGTTAATTCTTGCCTGTACTATTATGTAGGGATGATCTAAATGCCATCCCTACTAACCTGTTTGC